GCCTGGACATATTTGAACCCCTCTTCGTTGATATCAAAGACATTGCCTGGACATATTTGAACCCCTCTTCGTTGACAAAATCCACCTCAAAAATAATCAGAACGGACCTTTGCTGGCGAGCGGGCATGCAGTACTAGTGTTGAAGGATATTTTCAATATTCTATTAATTGACTCCGCCCCTGCTATTTCTAAAGTCCACTATTTGGGATTAGCCCTTGAATAGAGCTAATCTATTTTCAAACTAATGGCTTTATATCTCAGTCCATGGAAATGCTTGTCATTCTCATACTTATTGATAAAATTTCTCAAGCATTATTACTGAGTTATTGCAAAGTAATAAGTTTATGGGAATATAACTATCTAAAATCAAGGAAATTTTGGTCGGCTTTTGGTTGCCAAGTTTGTAGGGGTTTGTACACCTACTTGCAAGAACATTAGTATCATACGATATTAGAGCATTAGTAATTTAGTGAGAAAGGAATACATTACAAGACAAAAGAAAAAGTTCAGCTTCCCACTAAATCACTAATGTTCTATTTTCGTATGACAACGTTCTTGCAAATAGGTCAGTATGTTTTCATCTCAATTTGAAGCAATGTTAGTATCCTTTTTATTGAGTCTCTAAAAACGAGTGTATTTTCGATAAATTCTAGTTATAGTTCAAATCCCCATGATGTTGCTACTGACTACGTCACTCTTACGTTTTCCAAGGTTCGGATCTCCATTGAGGATTTTGTTGTGCCCATGCGTGGGTCTCATTTATTGCGTGTTTTTATTTGTTTAAAAAACAAATATTAAACCAGTAGTTGTGGTTCAAGCATATTCGGGTCATCGGTACATCAAAAGGGCTGAAACTTGAAAGTGAAAAGATATAATTTGTTTGTGAAGTCATAAGAAAGTCTCCCTAAAGTCCGGCGTATTGCTTTTTATGTCTGTCCTCTTATTGACAATAAATTTCGTCATCACATTGTCAAAGTAGTATGCGGACCACACTACTTTGACAATGCAATGACGCAATTTATCGTCAATAAGAGGACAGACACATAAAAAACTGATGTCTATTTGTTAGATCGAAATGCCATGGGCAGTGTTTGCCTGTCGTCGTAGGCTAGTAGTGAGATTCATTCAACAGGTTGATACCCAGCAATAGAATACTCTCTAGTTGATAGCACACATAAAAAAGTAAAGTACCTGTATTTAACGTCGGTAGTTCCTTCAGTTGAAATTCAACTGCTATCAATGGAAGCCGACGGCCACGTCACACATGACGGGCAGTGTTTGCCTGTCATTGTAGGCTGGTAATGAGATTCATTCAGCTATACCTTGCTTTACCTTGCAATACAATACTCTCTAGTTGATAGCACATGACGGGCAATGTGTTATGATATTCCGTTTCATTTTGGTTTAGTTGGCCAGCTGGTCATTTACAAAAGCAAGACCGCGAATATAATTTCTTTCCGTTTTTTTTCTTTATAGCCTGTCTTTTATCACTAGCTAAAAAGACTCACAAAAATATCAGAGTCCCTGATAGGAATCAAAATCATGACCTCCCTGATAACGGTCTGATGCTCTACCACTGAGCTAGAGGAAAGACTCGTGATGAGCGGTCATTTGCTGGGTTCATTGTGACATACGGCCTGCATAAGTTGTGGAAAAATGGGAAAACAATGGATTAGGTCAACTTTGTAATGAATTGGCCCCCTACGACACCTGGGGAAAACGTTTGCGCATGCGTGCACTTCAGCACGTTTTCTAAGAATTTTGAAGAGTTTGAGTGAGAAAATATATGTTTGTTTTCTCCAAGTGTAGAAAAAAATTGGAGAGTTTACTTTTGTCAGACCAAGATACTGTATTAACAAACACGATATGAAAGAATTAGTCTTAAGTTTCAAGCATGGACACTAAGTTTTGGCATTTTGTGAAGTCCAATTTATCAGGCATGTTTGAAAGTCAAATTTACTTATGTTTTGACTAATTTGCATACGGATTCTGGGCATGCGCAGACGTTTTTCACTCGTGTCACCCCCTACTAGTATGAAGACGTCTTTGTCAATTATTACTAGTGGTTAACAAAGAAATAATCCTCAAGGAAATGACACAATCTAAAATGGGAAAACAATGGATTAGGACAACTTTGTAACAAATTAGCCCCCTACTAGTATGGAGACGTCTTTGTCAATTATTACTAGTGGTTAACAAAGAAATAATCCTCAAGGGAATGATACACGATCTAAAACTGAAACAGTGTACGTTTATTACTAAATGACATAAAACATTTCTATGTATTAACATTAGAGTGGTTTTAATAATAATAATATTATAATAATGACTTTATATACTTAATGCAAAAGCATTAGTTTACATTGAGGCCATAAGAAAACATATGAAAGATAAAAGATAATAAAGTTTACAATTAAAATTAAAAAATCTGTACAGTAGAAAAAAAAAGTCAGAATGTTCTATTTGGTTTGAAATGATCTAATTCCGAATTCTTAGATAAAAAATGTAATAGTGACGACTTAAAAGATTTAAAGTCTTTTGATGTTCTTATAGAAGAGTTTAAATTGTTCCATAATTGATTGAGCTAACATGAAATGTTCGAATAAAGTCCTAAATTGTGTTTCATTTTTGGAACTCGAATGTTATTGATAGAAGCAGACCTAGAGCTATAGCCATGTGAGTTACTAACATACTTTATATACTTAGAGAAATGTGCAGGACATTTTTGATGAACAATTTTAAATAGCATACACAGTTTCTTGAATCGAATAATATCTGATCTATGGGAATCCATTTGAGTTTTTCAAATAGGCTGGTTGATTTGGAAGTAAAGTCTGCGCTTATGATAATTCCGGC